AAAGATTATATAAGTACCTAGTTGTTTTCAATGTTCATTATACAAGTGCGAATTTTATATGTGCGTCTGAATTATAATCAGAAGTGATTTAAATTGAATATCTAAATCAATACTAATTAATATGATAAAATATTTGTGAAAAAACTGTGCCAAACTTCCTGAGTGCTTCAATACAATTGAGGTTAACTATCCGTATGTATTATCGAGTATTATTGTTGATTAAAACTGAAACATGAACCATTATTCATTGCTTTTGTTTATTGCGTTTGTTACAGCAACTTTTTAGAAATATTCTACGACCCTATATATCAATAATTGAGAACAAAGATTTAAGCACGAATACTAATAAGGAGAAAATGAAGGCTTGGAGCGATATTACAGAGAAGTAAACATTTTAATAAGTACCTGTATCTCAAAAAAATGATTACATTATTTAATCAAAACATGTAATTTTTCAGATTTAATCTAGCAAATATAAGGACAAGAGACAAAAAACAATTGATGAATCAGTGGAAGTGCACTAAATTGAATACAAAAAAAGAGTTGTCATCTTATCGCCGTGAAACATCAAAAACTAGAGGTTGAACAAAGCCACCATCACCTTCTCCAGACACAATGGATATGGCAGAGATGATACCGCAACGGTTTGAAGTAGATTTCAATGAATTTGATTGTGATGGTGTCGAGGTAGGAATGTTAATTATAAATATGATGGTGATGTTCAAGGTTCAACCTCTCAAGCATAGGCACATACTTTATTCCCCTACAGGGTAGTTAGAGATATTGTAATACCTCAAAACATCCATGTTGCTCTTGTAGTACCGAAACTCTGTCCAGCCAGATGTGAGCCCATTCCCACTTATAATGGACAGTGGGTATAATACATCTTAATACCTGAGTGCGAACCACTCACCATGATACTTAAATTAATAGATGTTATTTATATATTTCAGGATATTACAAATAAAATCATTTTGGAAACAATTGCTATCCCAAAAGCAAATAAAGCCAACAATGACAAGGTAATAAATCAGTTTTGACATAACTTGAATACTAAAAAAGCCAAACAAAGGTGTGCACAACAGTGACAACATAACTTAACAATTTCATTATTTTGTAGGATTAAAGAAAGGTTAAAGAAAATCATGTCGAACTGAACAACAAGAATCCCCAAACAACTCAAAAGAAACCTACAAGGAAGACACCGGTATTATATTTAAATTATCTCTATCTCTAAATAGAATAAAAGAAAGTTGCTATCCAGGTCTGTAGCATGTGCTACAAATTATATTATTAACACATTTATATAATTATATTAATATAAATGTGTTAAAAATTTTATAATATGAATTATACAATTTTTTAAGTTTTGCATGGACAGAGCTTAAATTAATATTCTCTTATTTGTTGCAGAAAGCAAGTAGTAGTTTTAGTTTTGGAGAAGCCTCGTAGATGCACAACCAAGTAATGATTAATTTAAAATTACAAACCGAAATCCTGATGAAGACATTAGAGTCACTTAAAAATAAATAGTATAATGAAATAAAAATGTTTTAAAGATAAATAGGGTTTTATTTGTTTAATGTAAGAGAATAATAATAAATATTTATTTATTTAATTTTTCAAATGTAAACTGAACTTTATTGACTTTAATGACTCCTTTTCCAGTCTTTGATTATTTAATTGTAATTAATTATTTGCATGCAATCAAAAACTATTTTTAATAATGCCAAAGAAGTATAACTTCTTACGCGCGTACATAAGTACACGCACCCTTTTTTTTTTAATTGCAATAATTAACTGCTTTAACAAGTGTCGAGGAGGATGATGTAATTAATGATCCTTTTAATTAACCTTGGAAATTTAAAAGAGTGATGGAAAGTTCAACGCAATATTGAATTGTAAATAATATTTATATTTATGTTCTACAATTACTATTGTCTTACAATTACATACATTTGTTTTAAATACAAATTGCTAAGCAAAGGTATGTATAATCAGGACTCAAATAAATATATTCACTTAGCCTACCTCTTTAGTAACTTCATACCAATATATGGGACATTTTACTATACTGCCCCATATAGATTGTTCGTTTTTCCGGAATAAAAACAATTGCAATTTTTCTCTCCAAAAGAACCTTCCTCAGAGTTCAAGGCATAAATAAAAAGTATTCGTATTGGTCCAGTCGTCTTCGAGTTATGAGCGTAGCAACATTTTTTACGATTCATTTTTATTTATATAATACTAGCCGTTTCCCGCCCGCTTCGCTGGGCGAATTAAAATAGGAAATAAATAAAATTTTATGTTTCATTATTATTATTTTTTTCATATTTTTATTATTCTTCTTTTTAACTTCTCGCTAAGAAAATTGAAAATTTTCGAAAATCGAGTTTTTAACAGATGTTGACGTTTTGAGGTTCTAGGAAGCCTCCCCGAATGTTTCAGCGGTGAAGTCCGTAGATATGTATAAATTTTCATAAAAGTTAAACAGCAATAAAAAAAAGAAGGAACGTTGGAATTTAAAAGATAAATAGCCATAAACCATCTAGGAAAAATTTATGTCGATACGATCATTGGTTTAGGCGTGAAGGAGCCTCAAACGAAGACCATCTTTCTTATACGTATATATATAAGGGCCTGTCGTAGCCAACTAGCTTAATAAGCCGTTCAATTAACAGTAAAGTTTCTTTATTAAATAGCGCCGTTCAACTTGCGGCCTGAATGATGTTCAGCCATTTGATCAAACAGCTAGGCAAATGACTTGGATCGATGACGTTACAATACTTGCCTATCCTGTTCATTTAAATTTAGTTTCACTTTCTGCCAAACTGTCAATATAGTGTCGGCCAACAACAAATTTGATGATATTTTCCAAGGTTTTATGAAACATGGTATGGAAGAGTGTAGTGACACTAAGAGTAAGTGTAAGAACACACACACAATGTTACATATTAAATAAAGAATTTCTTATGTCAGATAAGCTTTTTTTATTTCTGTAACATGGTTGTACGAATGGCCTAAGCTTTAGCCAGCCAGTTTAATAAATGTTATAACAAACGTTACGGCTGAATATTATTTAGGCCGCTAGTTTAACGGCGCAGTTTAGTAACGAGGCTAGGCTATTGATTGAACGGCTAATTAAGCTAGTTGGCCGCGACATGCCCACTGAAGATCAGTTTTGACAGCAACTGACTTGGGCCCAATTTTGATTAGTGATGATGAAGGTTTTTTACAACTTTAAAAAAACAATATATATTCAACTTTCAGTTCTATATTTCAATCATTATAACAATAGAAATTGATTTGTGTCATTTTTTTGTTATTTTTTTAAGACTGTCTTAAATTATTAAATAATTACATAGCTTAATATTAATAAAATACAACATTGTGACTTACTCAGAGTGGTTGATTTAACAATCTCAGTTTCGCAAATAATTGAAATTTAATGTCTGATTAATTAACGATTTTTTTAATAGCGTGGGTAAAATGACAATTAAACACCTTTCATAGCTTCCGATTGAATGATCAAAACAATGAGGTTAATAAAATTAAATAATCGTTAACGACTCTAAGTAATATTACTTTTTTTTAATTATCACATAAAAGCAATATTAAAAAAGAATTCTATTCATCAGTTTCCAATTTTAATGTAATTAATGGCTGTCAAGTCGTCGTCAACCAATTAGTTAAGGCATGTTAAGGGATTTCAAGTGATCAAATATCACAAATTACAGATCCGACACCAGTTGAAAGTTAATTAAAAATCATATTTTAAGGGTGATTGTTAATAAATTAATAATTGTTAATGAATAATAATTAATTTGCTAAGAGTTTGTTATTTTATTGCTATATTCAAGTGATGCATAGTGAGTGGTATAACTGTTTCCTTGTAATCCAAAATCGATAAAAAAAAGCGTGGTGGAGAGTTTCTTGCACGTTGTAAAGTTCGGCAGATTCATTTCTGCATCTGTTACAATGATTATCGTGATATCGAACTACTAAGCTACAGCAAAAGAACTCAATAATTTTATAGTTATGATTAAAACATTAATTTTATACTGGAATTAAACAAAAAAAATATTCTTAGAGGAAAATTGCGTGCTTGCTACCTCACCTTAAGGCTCCACATTCCCGGAGGCAAAACTTTTATATAATACAAGCATTTGTATATACTTTTGTATAAGACAAGCATTCGTATATACTTTTGTATAATACAAGTATTTGTATATACTTTTGTATAAGACAAGCATTCGTATATACTTTTGTATAATACAAGTATTTGTATATACTTTTGTATAAGACAAGCATTCGTATATACTTTTGTATAATAAAAGCAATAAGAGCACACGAGAGCGGCTCTCTACATTCCCGGTTTGTTCAGTTGAAAAAGACGCTTGCACGAGATGGACGTCACTAGAATATTTGCTGCTGCTGTAGATGTATACACGAGATAACACGAATATAGACGAATACTCTCTACATTCTGGTATTCGGCTATTTCGTGTAGTTTTGTCGGGAATGTGGATTTGTTTATGATTGGGATTTGACAGGACAGGAAAAATCGCTTTAAACACTGCTTGAATGCCATGGTCGTGTTTTTTTTTTAATTTTTAATAATTTCTATTATTACTATGTTGTTTAAAAAAATGTAAATACTGTACATATTTGATTGTTACGTTTAGGTTTAAGCTTGAACCAACATACAATAATAAATTATTTAAAAAGTTCTACATCAGATACAGTTTGAAACCACATCACACTTATGTTAATTATAAATATAAAAGTTATTAGATATATTAGGGAAACGTACTATAAACGTTAATTAGCTGTTGAATCTTAAAGGTTCAAAGCTCGGCTGTGCACCAACCAAGTTCTTTACAAAATTAACTTAAAGGAAAACACTTTAAAGCTCCATTTTAGATCCGACTAAGCGTGATTTTAATTAAAGTGTATAGTATGTATGAGATACATTTAATCCAAGATTAGTCTTTATAATATCATCCGAAATGTCTTCTCTCGTCCTGCCATAAACTTAAATCTATTGATGGTAGACGGCTGCAGGGGACTGGTGTATTTCTAGAAAAATATTTATTTAAAAGTTATATTTTTATCTATATAAATATCGTATATTTGTAATGCATTGAAGTACCCATCTGCCTCTTTCTATCACAGCAAGACACAATTGGAAAGAAAGAGACGAAAGATTAGAGAAAGAAGATTATTGTGAAAAGTCTAATTGCGTGACTGAATAAGATAACTAAATTGAACATACAATAAATTTTAACAAACAAAAATTAATAAAAAGAAATTAAATGTTAAATGATAAATAGCAAATCTTTTTGATAATTGTTCAGTAATTTAACAAAACTTTTCAAAAACCATCTAATCAGAAATGAAAAAATGTAATTGTATTTAATGTAATTAAAAAAAAGCCCAATAACCTCGTTCGTGATTCTGTCGTTCATTAAATAGTTTGAATCTTTTCTCTGAGGTCAGTGTCACGATGTCTATATGTTATAAGTATTCATCATAAATATCTAGACTTGTATGTCAAACATCGAGTTTATTCAACTTCTTAACAGCTTAGTAAGAAAAATGAAAAGGACAAAATCATGAGAATTAGTGTAAGTGCACGTAAGTCTTAAGTGCTAAACAATGGTAAGTGGAAAAAGATAGCAAGAACAGAGTGTCTTTCGCTTAATAGAGACTGTAAGTAGTCGGGACTCTTTCTTATGTCAAATATTCCTTTTAGTAAAGTTTACACTTAAATAACTTATTAGTTGGCTAGATCATAAAATGATGATTTTGTGCAATTTATTTTACGAAATATGTGATTTTTTTTAAAAATATAGTTAATTTTTAAAAATATTTACCCAGCTGCGACGAGTTCAAAGGCCCGTGGCTGCATAAATTGAATATTGTCCGCGTTATCGCAAAGGATTCGTGCCATTGACGCTCCTCTACGAATAGACTTCAGTTGACCTAAGAAATTGAATAAAGAAAAGTTTTGTTTTAATTATTTGTGAATTTTTTCATCATCATCATCAGCATCATCTTTATTTGGTCCATTTGTGTGTGAGTGCCTGAGAGATGTTATAAGCGTGCTCTTGTCTGGGTTAGTTTTTGTAACCTCAGAGTCTGAGTAGAGTTAAACTTTATATTAAACACGTTAATAAATTATTAAAACTTATCAAAAGAAAGAAAAACAATTTAAAAAATCTTTTCAAAATTTTATTCTACGTTTGTAGAACACACTAACAATAGGAAAAACAAAAATGTTGACTATAGCTATCAGGTTGCGGTTTTCTGTGACGGTGTTCGCGCGCATCTTAAAAATTTACTCTCATCATTTTTCCCTAACGCGCCAAAAGAAGTATAACTTTATTTGAACACTTTTATCTCATAAAGGTTCTAAAAAAATATTTGTGCAGTCCATGGAATGTGGATAGTATACTTAATACGGCCGAATCAGTATGATCGCACGGCCGTAGTATATAGCTATCGCGAGGCATAGCGGATATAATATGGTGTTTAAAACATTAGGTACAGTAACTACAAAAAATTTAGCAGAACCCAAAAAATACTTACTTAAGGTAAAGGCAACTTCGGGGTCTCCATTTTCATAGAAATATCTATCACCCACTCTGGTTCTGTAGAATTGTTCAGTGAGGATGCATAGGAACGTGGGACCAGCTTGCGCTCCATGTGCGTTCACCTCCAAAGACCCAGCGACGACCAATTCGACGTCTCTCACGTCGCTGTATAGAGTTTCGAGTAGGTCTACGCTCTGAAAGAAAGATTCTCTTAAACGTGTATATTGATGGCTTTAAGAGAAAAATACAAGTAGAGTTGCACATGGGCAAAAATATTAATACACTGCCCTGGGTACCGTTTTTAAATTTGTTTTAATTTTCTAATATCCATCTTTTATTATTATTATTATTACTATGTTGGTTAAAAATATTTTAAATACTGTGTATTTGTGTAGGAAATAAATATAAATATGTTTTATTAAGGGGCAATATTAACAAAAATATTTATTTACAAAAAACATAATCTTGTCCTAACAGGCGACCCTAAATCAACAAAAAAGGATATCCAATACAAAATTCACACGCGATATAAAAACAAACATTCAAACAAAAATTACAAGAAATTCATCAGGGATAAAAAGCTAAAGAATATTTACAAAAAGAAAAATTTAATAATTATTACAGGCACAAACGAATAGAAGAACTTTTGTCAGCAGCCACTATGTTATTCGTTGAGTAATGTAATACTCGTATAGCGAATAATAATTTGTGCCCTTTTTAGAAGGTTAGTCCTAGCTGTGGGCATATGTAGTAAATGATTAAATGTTTTTTTTTTTTTTTTAGTCCATCTGCAATCAGCCTCTTGGCTTTTATCAGATTTTATGGGAAATGATGGCAATTAGGGAACGCAAATCCAATAATTATTATTCCCTCCGTAATTTGTAAACTGTCAGACTGCGGCAAGTTTCGCCCTTTTTAGCCGATACACACTGTCCGTCGTTTCCAAGAGGCCCGAAGCTAGGGGGTTGACGTGTTGCTGAAGTCTCATTTTGTATGGCACGGTTGATCTTTTAATGTCTTCCTCGACAGTGGCAATTCCCAAATATTTATGGACTTCAGTATTTCGTGTTAACCACAGCGCACCGCTCATATTTCGCAGTGTTTTGTTTTGTAGCCGCTGCAGGATTTCGATATTAGAGCGGCTTGCTGACCCCCAGAGCTGTATCCCATAGAACCATATTGGTTTTATTACAGTTTTGTAGATGAGAAGTTTATTGTCCATACTGAGTGCGGCATTTCTACCTAATAGCCAGTTCATGCTACGAAGCCTACCAATAGCATGATTTAAACATTTTAGATTAAATGTTTTAATAATAATAACAATTTTATTATTTTCATTTCAATACCGCAATCAACCTTGATAAATCAATAATAAGCCTTATACTGTTGCAGAATTTTTTTAGCCACGTGCTGCATTAAAATGTTTTTTGTATTTTCGGGATAAAGTCGGCAATTATGTAGCCACATATTTCATTATAAGAGTAGCCCGTGTAGAGGCCCCTTAATAGACACGTCATTACGTGCTTTGGTGTAGTTTGGCGATCCAAGGTTCGCTACCCGAGCAATGTGTTTCAAAAAGCACAGTAGGCGATAACCTTGCACTATCTATACGTTGCGTTACGCACAGCGTCACGTTATATAGCGTTACGTCACTTTATATATTATATAACGTAAATTTCAGGTCGAGTAAATAGTCTTAGAAATCTGAACGAAGGAAGTCTCAATAAATCGCAGAAATAATAGCAAAGACATTCCTCAAGAGACCATTCAAGCCGTCTACGTGTGACGAAGAACAATTGGAAAACCGAAGTGTAAAAAGAAAAGTGTTTTTCCATCAACGTTTTATTTGCGAGTATTTCCGCAAACATTTTGATTTAGTGATATTAGTTTCTTAGATAGTAATAAATTTACTAAAATAAGATTCAGTAGGGCGGCAAGTTTTTGAAGGGTCGAAATATATTTGCGGAACTTAATAAATATTATTTTTAATATACTTGGTTTATCACAACAAAGAAGTATTAATTCGAATAAAATCATGTTCGCAAAATTTTACAGATAAACCATTATTTATTATATTAATTTAAATAAATATAAAATAACAAAAAAGTGTACGATGGGCTGTTGTATAACAATATATTGTATTTATTTTAAAACATAATCAAATAGTATTTGTTGTAACTCTTCTACCATTTCTAACATAAAAAACTTACTTTTTTAGGTATGAAATCTGTCATATCCTGGAAGCTTCGGGGTACTGGGAGTCCGCAAGCAGCTCTAGTGTCAATGTAGCTAGCCAAGCCATGGTCGCGACCACGTTGTATATCTGTCGCTCGTAGATCACCGCCAAATGTTTGGTTACGGCTAAACAATATATACAAATATTTGTATTATAATATTTTACCAAAGTGCCAGAAAAGAACATTATTATAGATTCCAAATCGATTTGGTAGTTCCTGCGATTAGTGCGTCCGAAAAAGCTTTTCAGCTTTACTAAAAAGTATAAAAGATAAATAAAATCATTTGTTCAGCTTGTCTTAAGTGCTAAACGGTGGTAAGTGAAAAAAAAAACAAGAATAGAGTGTCTTTCCCTTAATAGAGACTGTGAGTAGTCTTATTAGAGATCTAATATTAAATATCAACGTGCTGCCTGTCCTTGTAGCAATACAGCTGAAGAGACGGTGTTGCATCTGCTGACCGACTGTCCAATGTATGGTTACTACGGGTATAACACTGAACAAGCTTTGGGAATAAAAGTAACAGAGACGAATTTAAAAAAAAAATGTTCAATATTAGGTTAAGAGGCATCTTTCTGGAATTTGCTGTAAAGGTTATACAAAAGGTGTTAGAGGAAATAGGTAGTAGTGTTTAATCATCCGGGTTACCAATACCATTTACGTAAGCTATTTAATACCTCCGACGTCAACATAGTCGGGGAATTATCTAGAAAAAATCATTAAAAAAAATGTTAAATATCCTTTTTAGTAAATTAGGTTAGACTTGAATTACTAATTAGTCTTAAGTTAGGCTAGATCGTAATGTTCCATGCTCTATTAGTGAATACATATGTATAAAAAACCTATTTATTCAGTCACAACACATTACCATAACTCTTATTTACCTACAATCTTCGTAAGCTAGTGGTGAAACCAAATGATTCAGCGATGATTTAAAACTAATAACAATACATATAGCTAAAACGCTTAATTTAAAATGCCATCACACGTTAAGGTAATTTTTTTGATATTTCTAAATTTACCACATTATTTAATGGACTCTGCAAAATAAATTTATTATTATAAGCAAAGCTTTCAATAACTAGTCGAGGTCAAAGGCAATAAAAGTTATTTAAGATAGTTTAAACTTCTGTGTAAACTATGTTCGTAATAACATTTACGATCACTGGAACCTCTATAAGTTTTTTAACTGTATTCGGTAAACACTAAATGGTATTTTGACCTTGTGATCTGTAGTTTATTTGAAAATTGTGTACAACTCATTGAACGATTTTATGTCTTATAAAACAGAATAAGTCAGAAATATTTCGACGAATGACATTTAATACTTTTTTTATAAATATATAATTTTTATAGAAGGACGTTCAAATAGTTAAATAATGACAAAAGGAATTTATTCAGCAATCGTGAGCTGGCTTCAGCGACTCTCATCCCTGAGATTCGTAGGTTCGATTCCCGACTGTGATATAAAGGACTTTCTACGCATTTAACATTCGCTTAAACGGTGAAGGAAACCAGCTTGCCTTCGATTCAAAAAGGCACAGGAGTTTTTTTAGCGCTCGTATCAGTGTGTGATAAAATTGATTGAATTTTCTTGAATTTATAACGACGGGTTATTTGAACATTTATTTAAAATATAACGGTATTTACTTATGTATACTTAGCTAATAAAGCTGTTATGAAAATTGTATATCCAACAATTAAATACATTATTGTTATTTGTAAAAGTATCCTAAATCCCTATCCTAAATTTTGCGAAAATCATTATATGACAAGAAAATATATTATTATTTGTCAAAGCGAAATCATTTAAATGTATTTTACATAACAACAAAAAATAAGAAAATGTTTTAAATTAACATTTCAGTATTGGTTGGTAAAAATAATTCTACAACCTGAATATTTTTGAAATTATTCGGGTTAATTTGGTTTAAGAAAAAAAACCTAGCAACCGGGCATGCATGCAATATATTATTCTTTAAATATATATTAGTTTATAATAAATGAGAAGGCTATTCTGCGACTTACCGGAACAGAAACTGAGTTATTTCGCTATCCCAGAAGCGATCGCTGAACCCTTGTGGCTGAAATGTTAGACCCAAAGTCAACTTGTCGAAGATGTTGTCGAGTTCTAATAGTAGTGGTCGATTGAACCAATCACTCAAACGGGCGTAGCCTGCCAGCTGTCTGTCCTCCGTTATCAAGCTATAAAACAATATTCGTTTAAATAAACACCAGACGTAGTAGTAGTAACGTAGCCACAAATCGTTTTTACAAAAGCTCATATCAGAGCCGTTATTTTATATCGACAACTGTAAAGGTTATCGTAACCACACTACTTCTTTAAAATATAATTGAAGATGCCAGTATAATAATGTTTAAAGAACTTTATTTCTCATTACATGTATTTTTATTTACATGAGAAACTTAATATTAACGAGATACACGTCGCCATCAGCCGTCCTAATTTTAATCTGCTAGGCTCATTCTGATATGTTTCATTAATGCCCTTTTTTGAATTGGTTAAACGCGCTAATATTACGAATTTTAGACGGTAATTGATTAAATAATTGCACACCTCATACTTAATAGACTTCATCAAATAATTTGTACGCGGCTCCGGCAAGATAAGCAAACTCGCTCGACGAGTATTCCGTGTAGTGGTGTTTGATTTTTTAAAGATAAGCAAGGTTTCTATGGAGAGTTATTAAAAAAAAAGATTCAGGTGTTTATAGTTCTTGCACTATATAAAAGTTGCACTTGCACTATGTATCTTAATTAATTTTGTAAAATCATCATAATTTTGGTTAATAATTTGAAAAATTGTATCTTAATAGTGCTAATTGTTAATTTATTTTGTAGTGTTTGTATGCTAGAAATTTTGTTTTTGCATGCTGGACTCCATATTTCAATTAGACATATGAAATGTGGCTTGACTAAACAATTATAAATTAAATGAGGTACAGATTGCGGAATACATTTTGATATTAATTAATAATAAATATACATCATTTTTCCTTTATAAAATGTATAATATAAATCAAATTCAAATCTGCATATCAAACCATATTTTCTACATATAGTTTATCTTATATATGCTTAAGGTTCGTACTTGAGAGACGTGTTGTCCAGCCCTAAAGCAAATAAAAGACAAACAGTTCTACCATTACAGAGAGGATCCTAATCCTGTATGTCAAAAACACGCTATTTGTTTGAGCCGACCAAATACAACACAAACAAAGAAAACACGGAAACTACAGACACGAATAGAAATATTTAGATTAATTATTTATGATTGGACAATTCACACCAATTGACCTAGTCCCATGCTAAGCTGGTGAAGCTTGTGTTATGGGTACTAGGCAAAGGATATACATACATATTATAGATAGATAGACATATAAATACATATTTAAACACCCAAGACCTAAGCACAACACCAAATGCTCATCACATCGATGTTTGTCTCAGCCGGGGATCGAACCCGGGACCCATGGATTCGCAGTCAGGGGTACTAACCACTAGACCAATGAGCCGTCATATAATAGTCTAGTACAAAATGTAATTAATAATAACACAGAAATCTATATCATACACACATACAGCACGCAAGCAACTGTTAATAGGATCGTTTGCCCTACTAACAGTTGCTCGTATAGTAAAGGAAAACGTCGTGAGTAAACCCGGCATGTCTCAAAAATTGACGACACGTGAGACAGAAGGCTGATTAATAGATCAGTCTCTATGTCTATGGTTTTTAAAGTCAGGGTGCTTTTATAGCGTGGGCGAATATTTGGCCTATAAGTTTGACAACAATTAATTGTAAATAGCTTGACTTATTACTATGACATTATGTAAATGATTTTATTATATGACATTGCAAAAAATTTATGACATTTGCATGCCTATGTATATATGGCTGATTGTGCGGATATAAAAATAAATAATGTGATTATAAAATCACATAAGGTTTGATTGTAATATATAACTACTACATAAAATTCTAATTTTTAATTATGTAAGATAAATTTGCACGCCATTATATGTGGCAGAATATGCAGAGTTTAGATTGTAAAACCATAAGATTTTTATACCATATGCAAATAAATTATTATTATCAGTAGATAAAAATGATCAATGAAATGGATCTTAGGCCAAACCCTATCCAGTCCCTATCCTATCCAGTGGGAATGCGCAATTGGATTATTATTAGTTTTTGAGATTTCTATAAACACCGTTTTTGATAGCTATTAATTCCTGTCGAAAAATACAATTTCTTCAAATATTTTGTAACCAAATAACGGTTGACTAACAAAATATTCGTAACATACCAAATCATATTAGCAAATCCTGAAAGCCGTGAAAGAATCTTATTCTCTTGGATTTTAAGAGTAAACTTGTATGAGGATATGCCTGATATTTAAGATAATATATTGTAGAGGAAATTACCTTAACTTGAATCACATTTGTTGGATACGAACCTATTTGTTTGGTAGAAAAATAGTACAGAACAATTGGATACACGTTTTATATATAGTATTTAAAAAAGGCTGTGGAGCAATAAATCGACTATCGATATATGAATTTGAAGGTTGGCTTTGCACCAAGTCATTATTTTACATAAAATCTCCTTTAGACAAAATTTAAACAACTCTTAATTTAAAAAAAATATCAATGCAAAAGATGCAGCACGTGCCCTAAGAAAGTACAGATACCGGCAAACTTCTTGAGCATTAAACAAGGGACAAAAGTCAACTGATTTACCAATCACGCGATCGACACGTCACTCTCTCGCCGCCCCCCAGTGATACCTAAAAAGCGCAGGCAAGGACATTTGTTCAAGATGTTTGCCGGTATCTGAAATACCCGGAGGATTTTATACCAAGGATCAAACTAAAGGCGTTCATCAGAGCATAAACAATAGAAGGAAATATATAAGGTTTTTTTGTAACATTCTCAAAACCAAACGCAAAAATAAATAAGTAAATAATTACGTCAAATTGATCGGTTATATGGGAATCATAGCATTAAAGTAAAAATAACTTATACTGAATCAATAATAAAAAAAGATTATGTTGTGATATGAAATAAATTATTACTCACTGCAAATATCCTCGTATCAAAGTATGGAAATGTCTGAAGGCTGCCGTCGCATGTTCGTCCAGAACGGATGGGTCCACTTGAGGGTTGTAATCGGACACGTGTGAATGAACACCGCGGTATATTAACTTGTTCTTTAACATGTTTTCCAATCCTACAAGAAATAATAATTTTTAGTTCCGTCGACAGCTAAAATAAAAAAAATCCTACTTTCTTTTCAACCAACGCTCTATGGTTTTTTCCAAAGACAATTACTTTAATTCTCTTTGGTTTTTGTTTCTCGGACTAAGTTCTAACCCATCTCCACCATTTGAGTTTCCTGTATAAATTAATTTAAAAATCGAATACATCTTTCGCGGGAAAAGTTTTTGAAAGTGACAGATTGAATATTTTTCTTAAATTTTGGAAAGTTACTGTCTCTTTTGTTTTTGTTTTATCTAGATAGATATTATCGAGGAGCTTATATTACTAATGTTTATATACGTATAAAGTCTTTATTTATATAAATATTTAAAAAAAGGTGTAATCCTATTTAGGAAAAATACGTAGCTCAAAAAAAACATTCACTTCTAATAACGAGACGTTGTAACAAAAGGAATGCCTTGAAGTTCAATAAACGTACTTAATTGAAATTCTTTAAATATCTAATTTAATTCTCGTACAACTTTGACAGTTGCGTATTTAGACCTATTAAAATTCTTATAGCATTAGAGAAATTATCTCGTGTAGAAAATTTGAAAATAGAATCTTTTTTGTACGTCAAAAGCTTAACTGTTAAAACTTGTTAAGAATTGCCTCAGACAATAAGGAACTTTAAACGTTGGAGAATCTAATTTTAAAATTCCTGGTAACTTGTACTTTGCCATTCTGCTAAGAATATAAATACGTATCCCTAAGATTCACCAAGCTGCATCGTACTATCGGTGTGTTAATAAATCTTATTAAATCTTACAATATAATGGTATTGGCAAATAATACTTTTTCCTCTAAGTTTCGAGATTGACTGACACTGACGTATATTTACCCGTTTTTACCACATTTACACTCGATTTTTCGTGAGTCTCACTGGCCACATATGCTGAAAAGCACTTGCAACGTCGAGTTATGTAAAAACTGGAATTCCTCTTTTTATCTGATAAACAAGTTTTGTTTAGAAGTTCAAAGCAATTTAATTTGTACTTTGCAATATTCTTAAAGATTTGTTGAAGCCTACGAAACCATACAAAGCAACCAAACTCTTCGGGTTTATAATATTAGTATAAATTGAAAAGTTTACATGTATACCTATAAAATTGAAGTGTGCAAATTTAGACTTAATAATTCTGTAATAATGTATCACATAATATTACGCTGAAGTCCAAGAAATGTCTATTCAACGTTCTTTGAGACAACACAGCCAGGGGGCCAGTCTTGTAGATTATAAGAAAATGTTCTCTATGTGTCTGTCCTTCTTGCTCTATTTACATTATACCGCTATCATAACGTTGAAATACCCAAAGGCAAAATGGTAATTATATATTATGTATTTATACTACCCCAAATGTCAGAATCACCTATAAGACTGGGTTCACACGGCATTGTCCTGCACGTTTTCTTTGTATTCGTTTTCTTATCGTACTTTCACCCGGGTTTTCACATGGTAGATTTTCATTCGTGTAAAATACGAATAGCCGCAGTCTTCACACAGTTGTCACAGTGAGCGAGAACGAGACAGAGCTATATTATGTGCCACTTTAAACCGAATACGTTAAAGTTCATTCGATTTGCTTGACAAGTCCGTTGAGTATTCATTTGAACGTATAAACCGTGTACGATATTTTACGTATACTGCAAAAAAACGTGCAGGATAATGCCGTGTGAACCTAGCCTAAGGTATTATATTTGTTTACCCTTTGAGTAAAGTATATAAGACACACCTAACCTTATACTTAGGATATAACAATGCATTGTAAAATGCGATTTATAGCATGTCATGTTGTTTATGAGTTTAATTTAAGTTCAAGGAACGATTGAATCCAATACCCTGATTTGGGTTTTGGACCCGACAAACGTTGTTTCGCCGTGTCTATTATTTCTAGGATACATTTTTTTAGTTCAATAACTATCTACTATAAAAAAAAATAGTTGGTGATAGAAGAGTGAAAGTTTAGGATAGCATGTATTTATTAATGCCAAAGTTTTTTTTGGGTTGGACATCCCTTATCACTTAGGGCTTTGAAATATAGATAGTAGCCGATTCTCAGACTTACTGAATATGCATACAAAATTTCATAAGAATCGGTCGAGCCGTTTCGGAGGAGTATGGGAACGAACATTGTGACACGAGAATTTTATATATAGAGATTTAAATAATAAAACTTGATGAAATAAATAAGTTTTAGGTTGCCTTTTATGCAAATCCTGTATTGTCGGTGAACAGATGCTTCATAGGTTTAAAAAAAATTGAAATAATTATTCCCAAAGATTCCCAAACGTGTGTCAGCGTAAGGCCCTTTCTCCACTGCTCCGGTCCGGCGTCGGATACCGGAATGAGTCATGAGAAAAATATCGGAAGGCCGGATTGCGCCTCTCCACTATATCCGATCCGACAATAATCGATACTTATATATTTATCATGCAACACCTATATTAACTAAAACACATATACTTTATTTTATTAATAAAACGTTCTAAGTTCTGAATATTTTATTGCCTGGCAAGATTATTACTTTTTTATATTGTCTATCTTAAAATATTGTAATCTACTTAATAAATAGTTCACTAATACTATGGTATAAAAATATAAATAAATAGCAACATAATTTGGTTTAAATAAAATAAACCTGTGAATAATAATTTATAACCTCTTGGATACTTGGATATACTTGGACCGAAAAAAAACACCGCGTTCCGATCTAGCAAGTTATCGGATCGTTAAAAACCGGATGCCGGAGTAGTGGAGAAGTACGTAAGTACTGTTGTGAGTTTCTAAATCGGATCGGTAATTAACGTTTGTCGGACCGGACTCCGGAGCAGTGGAGAAACGGCCTAAAAGACACTTTTAAGGCATATTATATTAATTAGATAGCTCAATATTTCGATCTCGTCTACATGTCTTCCGTGTAAAACTTTTTCAGTACAGGTTCTAAACCAGCAGTTACTTACCAAGGAATATAGGAAGATATTCATAATAATTAATGTGCTGGATTTGTGCGACATGAATCCGGCGCGCTTCTTGGAATGTTGTTTCATCGCTCCACCAGGGATTCATTGCTGCCAGCTTGTTTGCGATGCGATTGTGTTCGCGGAGCAAAATAACTTGAAGAATCGTTAATTGTGGGTTCTGATTGACACGAATATCACCTGAAAATTAACTTGTTTATTGTAATATCTTGAATTTGAATCAATATGTATGAACAATGATTATATGGATTCGTATTAACAGTTTTTTTAAAACTTAAAGCTCCCAGCTCTTTCCCGGTTCTCAATAACAAACTTAATAGTTAACTCCGTAACAAAGTTAATATTTTTTTTGAAGTGAAACTTCTTTAGGCGCACGAGGGTAAATTTTTTACGGATGAAACGCAATAATAATAATATTAGCGTCACGAAGATGTGCAGCGTTTTTGTCGAAGAAAAAGGAGAGATTTCAATAGATTATTTTGTATAAAATATAAAATACATACTTATATATCATAAATTCTCATTACGAAATTTTAATTAAAAAAATAGAATTTCGTATATTTTCAATTTGTATATAGGTCACAAATAGATGGAGTGATCATAATATACTGATGTCACCGTAAAATTGTAAATACCGTTAGATTGTAATCTAACTCGCGAGATTCTAAACTGTCGAAAGATTGTGAACCTCAACGAACTGTTTACAATTTAACGTATTATTATTCGGTAGATTGTAATCTATCGAAGTGAAACCGTCAAATTGTGAAACGGTACGCACCTCGCGCGCTGATTGGTTGAACGGAATATGCCACGCGCCACCATATTTGTTTACTTTAAAAATATTCCTGAATTCTTCACGTTGAAATTGTAACGAGCTTAGTGATTTATTCGTACAATTATTTTTTAGAAATACTTTAGGATGTTGAGTTTTTATAAAATATACTAGTGGACCCCACAGACGTTGTCCTGCATGATATTTAAAGCGATTAGGATATTAAGCAAAGTATGAAAGTACCGACTGCAGTGCCATCTGCCGGGCTGATTTGTGAATCTAAACCATTCCCAGATCCCCTTGAACACACACAAAAAATTTCATCAAAATCGGTTCAGTCGTTTGAGAGAAGTTCAGTGACATACACACTCACAGAAGAATTATATATATAAAGATTAGTATGTATTCATTGAAAGCCACTGTCTATGTTTTGTAATTTCGTATTTCATTTCTTTCTATTTTACCAAGACGTAAATTGCTTAATGTTTGTTCTCGTGTTTTGAAAGAGATTTTTTATCAGGACTTGAAATAAATGTTATCTGTATCTCTCTACCATTACTATATTTTTGAAGTTATACTTCTTTTGGCGCGTTAGGGAAAAATGATGAAAGTAAATTTTCACGATTCGCGCGCACACCGTAACAAAAAACCGACAACCTGAAGTTAGCAGTCAACATTTTAAAATAAAAAAATGTCCATTTCTTTAACTATGTAGAAATATTTTTTTTGTAATATTTAAATTAACTTTATTTAACTAGATAATGCGTTATAATAAAACTTTCAATATATTGAATTCCTATTTGCTATTGTTAGTGTCGTTTTTTCTACAAACGTATAATAAAACTTTTAAAAATATTTTTATCTTGTTCCGCGTAAGAAGTATAACTTCTCACGCGTGTACATAAGTAGGTACACACCCATGTTTTTTTTACACAGGATTTATCTAGAAATGGAAAGATGGATTACAAATTCCACCACCGTAAAGCGCACACATCTTTTATCATTGTTGGTCTAGCATTGGATTTATAGTCGGGTACACCAATCTGTGCTCTTACTACGGCTCTCCATAGCGATTCCAATAACGAATTTCAATTGACAGGATTCAATACCACCAACCTTAGGTTTTTACAATAATTGGAAACCAAGGACTTCGAGATGTTAGCTGATGCCAAGAATAGATTGCGCAATTTGCATAATTTATGTCATAAATGATAACTTTTTTTCCGCTCTGAACAATTTTTCAATTTTACGCCCAAATTTGGCAAACAAATATTAAATATATTGGTAATATAAAACCAATGAATATTGAAGTAATTAATATACATATATATATGTATATATATTGTTAAGATATTTCATCTTACCAGTCAAGTAGCAGGGTTCGTTCGGTGACTGCGCAGATTCGCAGGTCATTGTGACATTAGGGTCTTGCGGGGGCCACTCACGGCCATTCCTTAATATTGTTAATAATCTCCCGCCACGGAATTCACGGATAGACTGCAATTGTCTCTCGCTGTTTCCATAGACTAGCGAAAGATCCATGTATGAGGTGACAGATGACAGCTTCGGACAAAGACAAATAACTATAGTAGCACGATAGGTTTTTCATGATTATTAAGGCAAGTGTCAATTTTTTTAAACCCAAATAAGTATGGTTGCGTTAGTAATCGAACCCTGGGAATACGGCATATACCCTAACCACAATGATTTACAAGTTTTTTAGAATTGGAAATTACTACAGGTGTTAAAACGCGAATTTATTTTTAATGTACAACCCTTGATATGATGAATGCTTGGTCATGGAATGCGTAAAAGTGCGTCATTAATATTACATAATAAGATTTCGTATCTGTTTGGACTAAAGGTTTTCGTTCCGGATTCGCTTAAGAAAAGACTAATATTATTTAAGCATAGACTAATATAGATCTGCTTAGGGTAAGGTTCAGGTCTATATGTATTCTAATTCGTATCTCGAATGTCATGTCAAACTTCATATGCAAAAATAGTTTGACAGCTTTTGAAACTAGATTTGTTTGATTAACCGGGCTCAGAGTCGATTACCGCTAAGCATGACCGTATGTTTAAAACGCATTGGATTTTTTTACAAATGAAAGTCTTAGCCTTAGTCCACATTCCTAAATAACTTACCGGTTGCGCAGGAGCATTGGCTGGTGTGCACCTCCTGTCTCTCGTGGTTCCAGTTCTAACAAAATTCATACATTGTGTGCCCTGAGGTCCGTGTATTGGGTCATTTGGGGGTATGACAATTGGGGCGCACTTTGGGTTTGTTTTATAGTCTGACGCGAGAACACCCTCATCATCGCAACATACGATTGGATTGCGATCTGCAAAGAGAAGTAATCAAAACTATAACATACACCAACAGGTACTGCTTGATACAAAGCACGCAAAACGGTATTAATTTTTGTAAAATCTAAATAAATTTATTAATTTAATTGTAATTTTATGTAATCTTCACAACGTTATAGTTAAAATTTCGTGTAAGTGAAAGATACTATACCTAATAGACCAAAATAATCGGTTTTTCTACTCTTTTCACACTTCAGAGATCAGTTACTTACACTAATTTTATACTCCCTTAAGTGGGGCTCTATTTATATTTACAAATGAAAGATAGTAAAAAGCAATGGTAAAAGTGAATATGAACACATAATTGTGAGAACAAAACACCGAGGTAGCAAAACAGTATGTATGTTAAAGTTAATTAGTATCGTTTTGTATTTATGTTAACATTATTTTTTTATTAAAGTTAAGAAAACAACACATGACGCGCATAACGGCGCGAAAAACTTTACGGCGCGCTAGCGTCTAACTGGCGTTACCACAGATAAGTACGTAGTATTTCGCTTAGGAACTCGGAATAGTTCCATAGACGTGGTGTACGTATTCATATTGATTTATTATTTTTGAAATGATATTGATTTTTATTATGCTGTTACATGTAAATGTATTTTTTGATAATAAAATCTAGATTTTGTTAATTCAGACCAAACTCTAAAATACTCTCTAAAGACTCTAAAATACATATGTTATTTTTTTGTGACTTATGTAATTTTAATCATCTGATGATATAATTAGTTTATTTAAGATACTTAATTTTGTTATTACTATAAATAAATTAAAGTTCAGTGTTGGTCTAGCGGCGTTCACCGAACGACTGTCATCCCTGGGTTTGTAGGTTCAGTCCAACTGTTCACCAATAGAATGTTTGTCTATGTGTGCATCTAACACTCGCTCGTAGGGTGAAGGAAAACATCGTAAGAAATCCGGCATCTCTCTAATTCAAAAATGGACGATATGTGTACGACACAGAAGGCTCACCTTCGTGGCTTTTAGAAAAAAAAATCAAGAAACAGGTTGTAGTGCCACCTGTTTTTTTTTTAATAAAAATAAACAAGCCTTACCTGCCTAAGTAAATGATTAATATAAAAATTCTTACGACTTTGCGGGTTTCCAGCGGTCAGAGACATGTCATGAGTGATGATTTGTCCCCACTGCTGGGCGTTCAAGTTCCATTTAGGGTCTATTAGGGGCTTGTCTGGGAAAACAGTTATACTGATCTCACGTACATTTGGCAGTTCTTCTCCAGTAACCGACTTGGGTAGTTGGCTGATACCTAAAAAAATATATTTATGAGTACTTTTTCAATTAAATGTGAAAATGTTTTTTTTCGTAACTTATTAAGAGGGGAACTACCAAAATTACTGGTCGTAGATTTGATTTTATCTAAGAATGTGATGCTTGAATTAAAAACAATAAATAAGTAATGATCCTTTACTAATTTTCAATGGATGACTAATTATTTAGATTTATATTAGATTAGATTAAATGCACAATACAATATAAATTCCTCTATACAAAAAAACACAAAGTCACCTCTTACTTTTGGGGGTGTGAAATGATGAATTTTGCTAGCTTAATGGGCGCTCTTAATACACAAAAATATTTTTGTCACCTTAGATGTAATACTTATTATCAAGATTATAGAAGAGCTTAATAAGGTGCATCGCTTATACATTCTACATATAATAGCTAATAATAATATTTAATAGCTTAATCTTAATTATATAGAAAAGTATACAAAATAAAAAGTGCGTGCGTACAAAGTACACATGTCAGAAGTGAAACTTCTTTGGCAAACTGATTTTTAAGTCTTGTTCATATTTCTACAAATCTAAAACTTTAGATTTCCGAGACTTAGAGGGAGGAAAAGTAAAATATGTTAGGAATTTAATTGTCATTTAAATATTATTTTTTTCTTCGATAAAAAAACACGTGGCATTTTAATTTACATTTCGTTGTATGAGATTTCAATAAATTATTTTGCATAAAATATAAAATACTAATATTTCATAAATTCTCTTTACGAAATTTTAATTTTAAAAATAGAATTTCTATAAGGTAATTCGCCCTTCTCACTAATCGTTCTCAATCGCTCTCTCCCTTTCTTCGACAAAAACGCTGCACATCTTCGTGACGCAAATATTATTATTATTGCGTGTCATCCGTAAAAATTTTACCCTCAGGCGCCGTAAGAAGTTTAACTTCAAAAAACTAATATAAAGTATACAATACTATTTAAAATGCAATCATGTTTAAATTCGCGTATTTCATGGGGCAGAGGTAGTACTTCTTAAGGCAGTCTTTTGTTTTGTCTGTCTTTTATATAATATTTGTTAATTTTCTTTTACTTTTATGAATTGTGTAAAATTTTAGGTATTATTATTAGTAGCTGTGGGTATGTCCTAGTTATACACGTACCACAATATAAATTTAAAAAAAGAAGCATTCAAGCAGTAACACGTTAACGGTTACAACACGCGAGCCCTCCATTAAACTGTTAAATGTGAAATTCGCCATCTCAGGGCTCCAACTATAAATTTTGTACTGTCTCGAAGCTACAATGAATTAATCAAGAGTATTTTAAATACAATAAATCAATCTAAACCTTAAATGTCTCTAAGACCACAGCACCGAAGTTAACTTAATTATACTAAGCATTGTTCTAAGTGATATAGTACGACTGGAAGGTCCCAAAGCACAGCTTTTAAAATGAACTTTCTTAATTAGGGACAAATGATTAAGATGACAACGATAAGACAGAAGTATTCTGGGATATTCCAGACTTAAATATCTATGAATATTAGTTTTTATAGTTCTCGTTAAAGTTAAAATATTCTGTATCTATTCATTCCTTTTTAACAAAAAATATAACTGACTTCAGAAGTATCAAATTTATTTTTTTGATTGGACGTGTGTTAAGACGTGTATAAAGTGTTAGTTAAAATATAGACGTCAAAATAGGTTTAGTTCGGTTAAAATGTCCATGGGTGAGTGAGTACTTAGGGTAAGCAACGAGACTTAGGGCTGACTCCTATACGTCAATAATGTATTGGATTTTGACATACAGAAATCGTAGTTCGCGCCAAGTATCGCTTCTGAATCTCAGCCAAAGAACACCGCGATGGCAATACGATGAAGCTTATTTATATAGGGTGTCTCAGTAAGAGTGCACTTTTTAAAATTGCAATATTTTTATTTTCCTGCAAGTGGCAACTGTGAAATTAGACAGCTGTCACCTCTGTTTATTCCGATTATTAAAAATGGAGCGCTTTTCGAAAGAACAACTCGTTATAATTGTGAAAACTCATTACAAAAGTAACGCTGAAATCGCTTGCAAACTTCACCAAATTTTCAGCCGAGAAAGTGCATCTAATGTAATATGATAAGATAATATGTTTTAAAAATTAACGTTTTTAAAACGAACTTGATCGCTTCAATACCAAATTAATACATAGTCTGTTACTTCAAATGTCAAACTATTATAATTTGTCACACAACGTCATCGCAGAATAGTAAACACAGGTACAATAAAAATAAGTATAATATGGTATTTGTGGTACTCTGAGGTTTTTGTAGAAAATATTATTAGTTTTGTATTAATATATAGTAAGTATGTGTTTTTTTGTAAATAGTGTTATTTCAATAAATGAAGCTTAATAGAAGCTTGCATAATCCAGCAACGTATAAAACCTGTGCATTGCCAATTTTACAGAACCTTACTTGTTTACCACAGGCTAATAGCATGTATTTATCCGAATTGGAGTCGCATAATTGAATCGTTCTGCCAATGTCAAAGAGACAATTTCGACTGTTATTTAGTAGGGTGATTTATTATACGCTTATCTGTCAATGGTAGCGGTAGGTATATAAAACGATGATAGAGTGGTTATGTTAAGCTTTTATATGTGTTCTTTTGTTTATATTTGCTATAACATCTCCAAGATGTTTTTATGGTTGTGTCTTTATTATGAAACGATGAATGCTTGAAGTACTATTGACTTATTTTTTAACCTATTGCATAGATTATATCGCGGGCTTTGAACGCGGCGACCGAATCAAGAAATTCCGTAACGAAAAAAACCGAACACTTGAATTAATATCAAAGAAAAACAAATACTGCATAAATAAAAAATAATTATAACTGCATAAGTTGATAAAAAATGCTATGCAATAGCTTTACCGCGGCAGTCCCCGAGTGCCACACGTTTTTTTTGTATTATTTATTTTCCTTTCTTTCCGCTATGTTTTCCTATAACACTGTGTAAGTAACAATAAATCTACTTTTGTTTAATGTTCCTTCATGCATGAGCAAGCAAGCTTTTATTAACAAAATAATAGTAAAACTAAATTAAAAATTAATATTAATAATAATAATTAATATAATTTTAAATTATACATTAATTAACAAGTCATGTCGTAAATAATTTTAACGTTATTTTTATATTGTAAAGAGTTTTATATAGTCTGTGACATGTCAAGCGCGCGGTAACATTTCCCTCTAAAACAGTAACTGACATTTCGATTGCAAAATGATGATGATGATGCAGACTCCTAAACGGGCTACACAAACCGGCAACAATGGCTGACGAAATCACACTTGTCGCAGCAGCTTATATTGTTTTAAAAAATAAACAGAAAAAGAAGAGATTGTGGATTCGGCCTTACTTAAATAGGCGTGAAACTGTAGAAAATTTGAGTCTAGAAATAAGCCTTGATAATAAATTATTCAAGAACTAGAATGTCAAAAGCAGTCATTTTTACGTAGTAACCTAACGTCAAAATGCAGCTGATCGCAAAACAGAATATAGCAACAGGCACACTTCACTCATCGCAAACGTCATGTCGCGTAGAAAAGGATACACTATGCCATAACAAAGAGAGTGACTGAAACAACAATAGAACTGGCTGTGCAATATTGCAGTTGAATTCGATAGCCTAGCGATCGTCCGGCCACCCATCGGGGCAACATCGGCCATATGTGGCTATACAAAACATGTTTGGCTATATGGCCGGGACATTACTGCAATATTGCATAGTGTGGCTGCTATTGTTTGCAATGTTGCCGGCCACAGTGTTGCAGCCATCAATTGCAGCAAAACATGGCCCGTTTAGAAGCGCCATTATGTTATAAAGCAAGTTAAACATCATTTTATCTTTCTAAACTCTTGGCGATCTCTGTAAATATTAATCAATAATCCTAACAAATAATAAGAAAAAAACGAACAGCTTTGACAAAAATTTAATTACATATTTGAATATATGTAATTAAATTTTTATTTTTTATTTTTAATGAAAATACGCGAGAATTTATTGTAAACGACCGATACTTGGACAAACATGTGATTAAATATTTAATTTGAAAAACAATTTCTATACCTAATCCAGTTTTATGAACATACTGTGGAATTTATTTTCTTTTTGATATTATAAAAACCTATTTGCAAAATTTAACGTTACCAAATATTGTATCAACAAACTCACTTATAAACGTATTTGAAAGCCTCAAAAAGCTATTTAATAATTGCGTGGGTGTCATTTAGATAATATAAAAGGTAATTTACTCAATTACAGAGTTAAATTAAGTCAACTATAGTTACAAGATTACTTAAAGAAATTGTATGTTTAGGAATAAAATTACAATAAATATTCTATTTTTATATATTTAATTTTTACATTACAATTTTGATTGCAATCTTTCTACATATAATATTGTGCAAAAAATTACGCCTAATCTATGTTTTAATTACGGTGAATGAAGAAATTTAGTTTCATAATATTTTAAATTGTCGTAAAAAATCCTCTATATTATATTTGTGTTGTTATACACAAAATATAATTTTGTCGTTTCTTAGTATTGGTACAAGTGTGATAAAAGGATTTACGTAGAATATAGCGCTTGTGCCTTCATGTGGTTAATCAAAGTATTCGATAGCTATATTAATAATAACGGCTAACTTGAGTTTCATTAACTTCGCCCTAGTACACGTTTTCTTGGAAATGTGTTCGATAAAATATTGAACAGGTACGTACCGTCATAATAGTTGAACGGAAGAAGCCTCTGGTAAGGTGTCTGTGGCATACCAAGGCTGGGTCTCAGAGGGTTATTACAGCTTCCATCAAGAGTACGGTAGCGAGATTTAGGGCAAAACGATGGTGGCACTGCGCATGTTTGCGATGCCGGATCCTGCGTGGAGCCTGGTGGCGGTGGTGGGTTGCTGAAGCTGTCAATTATAAATGTTTTAATTCGATATGCCAATTAAGTTGTTAATAAATATAACATGTACATATGTATAACATGTAATATTATTCATTCATTAGCAGGCGTTTTCATCCTTAAGAATCGAACCCGACCGATTAAATAAAAAGTGTGGGCGTGTAACCTTTGTCAAGTCACTTTGCTATTCACAATTAAACCGTTTGAAAATTTGGAAATAAATAATCCTAATTGATTATGATATTTGCCACTAGCTGGCGTATAAGTCAAGAAGCGTGGAGTATATGACAATTGACATATACTTACGACCAATCCGAATTATTAATTTTAAATAGCGGAACTACACAAGTAAGCGTTACTTCCGTCAGAAAAAAAATCTGAGTTACCTACTCCCTAGTCGCGCCTAAAGAAGTTTTACTTCAATAATTTATTTTCAAGTTTCAAGTAAACGTCACGTCAGTAAACAAAATACATGTCATGTAAATTATATTTAAAATTAATTACATATACATTAATATTTGTTTTTATTAAATTTTTGGGTCTATTTCATTTCTAATATTTAAGATAGCCAGATTCCTCACAATGTTTTCCCTCGCCGCATAGACCGTGTCCATGTTCCAGCCGGGATTCGAACGAACGAATTTCAAAGTAGATAATTGTTGATTTCATTCTTTGAAACCATTAAACCATATTCTTGATTAACCCACTCATAGTAATGATCATAAAAGCAGTTGAATTAATTAATAAATAGTTACCTTAGATAGCCTCCTGGACCTGTTAATGTACTTTTAATGTCTCTGTTAACAAAGGGTGCTGTCATTAGGAATGTAAATGTTAACACATCATGCTAGTATGACTATAATCTATCAATGTTTATTACAAATAAAATTATTCATGCTGTCCTGCACATATTTAACAACATTATACATTTGTAGGTACACAATATAGGTAAGTGACAAGTATATAAAGACGCAGATGACTGTCATTAGTCAAAATTGCGCTTTATTTTTCATGACAGTTGACAGCTGTATTGGTATCTGAATTTGTAAATATAAAAGTTTTGTTAAAAAATATTAAAAATTCGAGACGACAGCGGAATATTGAGTTAGCGAAACTGAGCCGGTCAACAGAGCCTGCCTTTCGCCAATCTTACCTGTGACTTATCTGTATATTGTTACGAAATATGTGCTTTGGTATCGGCAGGAACTTGGCAAGATTTTATAAGGGAATGGTCATGTTAAGCAAGACCTGGACATCTGCATATAACCACTCTTGCCAACTACCGTGCCGGAAACTATATTATAAAATCAATTAGCTTTAAAAATAAATATTAGTACATTTATTGAACATATTCAATGGTTGATTCAAATGATTTACAGGGTTATATGTTAAAATTCCATCCTTTATTATTTTTCACAAATTCATTATTATTAAAAATTATATCGAACATATCGTGCAAAGTGCAAATTATTATTTTACCAATAACAAAACGACGCCAAGCTACAGGAATATTGTTTCATAAAATACAACTTATATACTTGCTACACGTAATAAATCAGATATTCTTTAGTAAACAAATGTGAACACTTAATAATATGAACATTCATATTCGTTATTGTTTAAACTTTAAACTATACAGCTTAGAGTTACGGTTAAGTGCGAACCACCAACCATATGACGCGAACTGTCACTCCCATCTGTCAAATTTAGTTTTGTGACAGATTGGATATATAGTTCGTGTTCACGAAATATGTTGTCAACAAGTGGTTGTGAAGGAAATATATATACTTGAAAACATGTTGTAATTTAACTTAAGTATTAATATATTAAACAATTAATAATTTTGGGCATTGTTAAAAGAAAATAGATAATATTTGGATTTACATGTAGCGACAGATAAACATTTTAGATACGTATCATAATAGATTATATTTCGTCTTCATCAGTATAACTTTTACATCCATCACAATCACTGTAAACTTAACTAACTTACAACCATTCCTTCTACAACTGTGAGTAGATAATTTTTATTGAAATTGTGATATGATTACTAATGTTCAATCAATATCATTAGAGAACTGGTGGTGAAATGATAAAACAAATTTACAGCGTGTTCTGTTTGATTTTGATTGATCTAGCATTTCTAGTCGGACGCAATGACAGTTGACATGCGAATAAAATGCGTCATATTTCGATTGCTTGTCCAATCAAAATCAAACGCATTGTTTTCAACTATCCTACTACGCCGTCACTTGATTTTATTTTGAATATATTAAAAAAATTATTTGTTCTTTATTTAAAATCCATTTCTTACATACGCAAAACAAAGACGAGAAAAAATTATTTGTCGTGTTCAATTTTAATATTAAAATAACATGTTTATCGTTATTTTAATAACCTTTTTCTAATATACTCGTACAACATACTGGCTTGCGCTTATAAACCTAAATTTTACACTAATAATGTAGCTTGGCGCTCAACTAAATTATTATTTTTCCTTTAATCTTATGAACAGTTCCTTAAGCCTTACCCAAACCCATTAACTGGCAGTCTTTCAGCCTGTACACCGCCATCTGCAACCCTGTTATCCTCTTGATAGCCCGAAAAATCTTGAAAGTGGGTAGGATTTGTAAAGAGGTTGTAATCCCCTCTCACTACAGCGCAGGTTGCAAGGAGCAGAATCACCTTCGCCATTTCTGAAATGAGATCTTGAATTGCACTAATCCGAAATAACATCTTATTTCGCTGCCATGATAACACTCAAGAGCTCAACTATCTTAAACGATTTTCAAAATTTAAATTAAATCTGTTAAGACGTTTGGGCAAAATAATAATGTAGTAAAAATACAAGCGATTCGTATTCGTATATTCGCTGTTGCCTTTGGTAACTTTTACAAAAGACGTTGCCGTTTTGTTTCGCTGTTATGCGAAAAGAAGGGAAATGTCTATCCCTTATGAATCATAAGTCTCACGAATAAAGAAGTTGTAATTTGTAAGAACCTTTGTAAATGTGAATTAATATTTGCTAACAACAATAGAATTTTCTTACTCAATACTAAAAGGTAACCGTTAAAATGAAGTGCACTGTGCATCAAAAAGGAGTAAAAACCTTCTCGGTAACAGCGGTAAGTCTCTTACTAAAACTTTAATATTGTATTTGTTCCAAAAGTGCATTTATTCTAAAGACAATTATGTTTTATTTAACAAGACCTCGTACGTCATAAAATAATAATTGCTATGCACAAAATAATCGTCGTACATGTAACATTTGATATGAAACAAATTTTAAACAATGCACAAAGATATTTGATATCGCCGACAGCTCTAGTTCAAAGCTAGTCGAAAGCTGCACACCGCTTTCTGCTTTGCACTTTACATCTAGGAATGAAACTATCTTTTGTGTAAAGATCATAAAAGCATATGATGCTACATTAGTTTAATAACGTGAGTTAACCCAATTTAGACGTGAACCTATTGAATTTATTACAAATATACATTTATCATAGACTACACGGCACACATTAGGTATAGTTGAGATTTATTGAAATATTCATAAGACACTTCTGAACATCTAAAAAGTAAACAACCGTATCCTATTAATCTCAATTTGTTATGATTTAACACAAGTGAACTTAGCGATAATATTTATTCTTTTAATCCTACCGAACTTGCACGACGATGCGCGCTTTGCCGTATTTCACCAATGTCTAGTATGAATGAATCAGCAATGGTGGCAAATTTATGAGAATTTTTTTCTTAATTTGATGTATGAGAAAACACTTATTTTGTTTGGGTTTTTAGTTGATTACATTTCCTTGTACCGTTACGAAAATATGCATACTTATTACACATATGCCCTTGCACTATATAAAAAAATGTCATAACGTATTTCCTACGTTGTTACAAATAATTTAAACATGTTTTCTTGTGCAATTAAATTAAATATTACGGAAACGTAGTGACAAATATTACCGTGATTTAAATTCTTACTGCTTTTAAAGATTTTTATAAACAGATACGTGGAAAATAAACGCGTAGAGCTTTATTTAAAAATACTTTTAACATTTTGTTTAATTCATTAATGAAGCGTTATTTCCACAAATTGTAAAATAAATCCATCATTTTAATTAACGCAACGCCAACGCAAAACATGTTTTTGTTAAAAGGAAAAGTAATTTTAGTATACTATTATTTATTACCAGTTTTATTGAGTTATATATTGAGAAATTAATAAAACATTCCGTTCAAACAAAATATTTTCTGTGCATAAGTATTTGTGAGATAAAACGTAGTTGATACAAATGAATCTTATCAATCTTCGCGAAATACGTAATATGGCCAAACAATAACAGGAAAACGTGTTAGACAGATTTCATCTAATTTACCTACATTAAGATTGAATTTATAAACAGTATCTTTTAGCGACATTATATAGAGGAATTATGTATAATAATTTGATATTATGCTCACTTTATATTCTATAAGAGCCAAAGAAACCTTAGCAAATATCAGAACTTACTCGGTTCTGGAATAGCCATGGAGTGTCACACCGGTAGTTATAAGCGCAACGGGTATAGTAGTACAGTATTACAATGAAATGCCTGTATAGACCATTCTCCGAAACAGGCTGCCATTCAAACCTCAACCATAACCAATTTAGTGTTTGGACAGTATTCCTACATCGAACACCATTTATATATATTTAATTATAATTGTAGTCTATGTAGTAATTGTGTCCTATAGTGTTATGGTTCTATGTAGGAATACTTAGCTCCAATAGCTCTAGGCTTTAGCTTTATTGGTTATGGTTGAGGTTTTATATATGTGGGTATGTGAGTGCCTTTTTTCTTGAGTGTCTCAACTGGCGATTCATTCGCTGTACGCTGTGCAGGTATTAATCAAGCTTTTATATATAAGAGCATTGCTAGCACTCACAGTCGTTCTAAACTCAGCTGTGCAGATTTTTCTACTTATGTATATTAAACATTCTTACAGTGAAGCCAGTTTCCAAACGGGTACGTCTAAGACTGGGTTCACACGGTATTGTCCTGCACGTTTTCTTTGTATTCGTTTTTTAACGTACTTTCACCCGGGTGTTCACATGGTAGATTTTCATTCGTGTAGAATACGAATAGCCGCAGTCTTCACACAGTTGTCACAGTGAGCGAGAACGAGACAGAGCTATATTATGTGCCCCTTTAAACCGAATTAACGTTAAAGTTAATTCGATTTGCTTGACAAGTCCATTGAGTATTCGTTTGAACGTATAAACGGTCTATGTACAATACATGTGCCACTATTTATTCGTTAAGACGTTTACTGCAAAAAAACGTGCAGGACTTTGCCGTGTGAACCTGGCCTAACTAAATAAAGACGTCAGTCAACACAAGCTAATCAACATGCCTATAACGAGAGATGATTAAGTTAACGGATATTAAGCACTAACGAGTTACGAGATAAGGATTCAGAAACGAGGCTTAGCGCTAAGTTAAAAAAAAATACTTTGATCTACGGGAGTCATAGTTAAGATAATGTCTGGTAACATTCAATATATATTATATATAAAAAAATTAAGTGGAAATGGGCGGGGCACATGGCAAGAGGAACGGAAAAGTGATACAAGAAAGTACTAAACTGGTGCCCAAGGTACAATAGACGTAAAAGAGGAAGACAATTAAGATATGATTAGACTAAGGAACCAGAAAGAGGAGAGAGAGGAGAGTGGCACAGAGTAGACAGAAATGGCGGAATTTGGAGGAGGCGTTTGCCAAAAAAGGGCACATGGATATTTAAAATGAACGAAATGAAATAAATATAAATATGTTTAAGTATAAAAGTATCTGAAATAAAAGGCTATTATTATATATAACTTCAAACGGTTGAAAATTTAAGCTCTGTTATAAGGCACGAAGCTTTTCCTTGAAAATATTCCCAAAGCGGCCTTCAATATTATTAATGGATTTTTCCGGTGTTCCGTATTCATGAAAGAATATTTGAAAATCGAACGGTTCGAGAGTAAGATTAAAAACTTAATGTCATAGCCAATTACAATTAATCGCCCGATTATTTCTTAGTTTAGGATACAAATCAAAGTCAATATCTAGCACAAAATATGACTCCAATATATTTATGGCATTCGGAAGCCATACTTAACGTTCCTTCTTACGATATTCCATTCTTTAATCTCGTGTTAAAATGTGCCTTTCTACAATTGGTCTAAGATCCCGATATACAACGACCTTCACCGAGATGCTTATTTAATGAAACGTATTTTATATTTAATTTAATATGTCAATAAATATAATCCATATGGGTTGCCTAGCAAATTTCAGTCCAGAGTATTTTAATTAATTTAAAAAAAATAATATTTTTTAAACATTTCACCGGTATGATTATTAAATAAATTCTATACCAATCGAAAGTATGAAGCCCATAGAATATGCAAACGTTAGGTTGTTTTTAATCAATTAATTATTTATGTGTATATTTTTTATGTGACACTAAAGTATATATACATCTTTAGTAAAAAAGAAAGTTATAGTGATACATATATAATACTACCCTGATTAAAAATATTGATTGAAAAAATTTAAAAAATTTACTACATGCAAATTATAATTTTTTTTTTTTTTTTAAATATTAATTAAACATATTCTGGACTGAAATTTGCTAGGCAACCCATATGGATTATATTTATTGACATATTAAATTAAATATAAAATACGTTTCATTAAATAAGCATCTCGGTGAAGGTCGTTGTATATCGGGATCTTATACTAAATGGGCCTCGAAAATGTCAAAGAATCATTTGGATTATTTATTAGATTAGATTAGATTGTTTTGTCGAGACATTATTTCAAAAATTTTTAAGTTTATTAAGTTGTATCGGATAAACTAATCATATTAGCTCGATTTTGTTCCCTTTGGAGTAGAGACTCTTGGGTTCAAGTGCACAGGCGTTAATCAAAGATTTAAGTTGGCGCCTGGTAAATAGTACCGGTGACCACAGCTGGTGCTTGCCTCGCTCAACGAATAAGTATCGCAATTCAGCGAGGAAATGCTGCCACCGCTAAAGGTAGCCACAGGGACCAAACTTTTTAAATTTTAATTTTATTAATTTTTAATTATTTTTATTATTACTATGAAGGTTAAGAAAATTGTATATACTGTTTGAAAATTGTATTATATTTTTATTTTTGTTATGTGTATGTTTTTGATGAAGGTAATAAAGTATAAATAAATAAATAAGTGTAGTGTTATTTATATTAAGGATTCTTATATACCTACTTGCGTTGTCAGTAGACCAAAAACTTTATTTGTTAAATAAATATAAATGAAAATGAATCGTAAACTATATTGCTAAGCGCAAAATTCTAAGTTGGCTGGCTCAGTGCGAGTATTTTTTTTTAAATTTATTCCTTTAAATCTAAAGCAGGTTTTTATGGTGCGAAAATTGCTGGGATAACCTTTAAAACGTGTTTTTTTTTCGACAAAGCAAACAGTCTATAGCATAGCAATACGTTCCATATGTTGGTATGTAGCTACTAAAAAGGTAGGCTAAGTAAAAACATCATATTAAGGCGAAACGCGAAGTAGTATTATATAATTAATGTCGTTAATTTTCTAGTACAATTTTGATGTCAGATTTCCAACAGAAATAGTCCATCGTAGTAATGTAAACAAGAAACTGTCAA